TGCAGGCAAAGGAAGTTCCCTCATCTTTAGAACTGGGATTTCACTCTCACATTTAATGAGTGGCAGCAAAGAAAGGCTTTGAGAAGCTCTAGTAAGTCTCTTCACCCCCAAGCCACCTCCAAGAAAGGTCGGTCATGGGGCTTGAACTCTGGGCCTGGGCACTGTCCCTCAGCTCTTCAGCTCAAGGCTAGTGCTCTACCACTTGAGCCACAGTCTCACTTCTGGTTTTCTGAGTGGTTTATTGGAGGATAAGTCTCACAGCCTTTCCTGCCTGGGCTAGCTTTGAACCGTGATCCTCAGATTAGGATTACATATGTGAGCCACCAGCACCTGGCAAGAAAGGTAGTTTCTAAGCAAAACCAGCTTAAAGACCAGTCTCTAATCTTTTCTCCATTGTATTTTAGCAGAGAGCATCTCACATATAGAACTTCTGGAGTCTCAATTCATTACATGATCATCTTTTTTCCCTTTCTTATACTTGTCAGAAGTATCCTAAGATTCTCCCCCAAATTCCTACATCCTCCTAACTTCAAAGAAATACACCTTTACCTAGTTGAAAGGGGAAGTCCTGAGGTGTTCTGTTCATCTAGGGTGTGGGTAGGAATTTTCCTCTTGGCACTGCTGTGTCCTTAACCTAACAGTAAAGCTTGTGCAAACACTAGTTCAACCTTGAGGGATGCAGAACTTCTGTTATCAGGCACCGGATCTCTTTTTTTAGTTAAGTAAGTGTTAAGCAAAGGTTCCTTCTTAATTAATGGGTCTATTTTAGCAACCCATCCTCATACAGCTTCTCCCCAATCCCAGTAACTCCAGGGATCCCACACATCACAGGACTTCCTTTGGACTCCCCAAGGATCAAAGCTTCCTGCCAGCCAGGGATTGTCACCAAATCCCATGGATCAGGGGCTGAATACAAGGAGAGTTCAAAGGTAAAGTTACTCACAGGGGCCTCTCAGGTGGGCAGGATATAGGCAATCCAGCAGAGGAAACCTCTCATTAAGACTTCAACACACCTGCCATTCATCTCTGGCAGCGTGGAGCCCAGGAACTCCCAGGGAAAGAAAAGGGGGAAGGGAGAGGTGTAGGTGGCGTGGCTGGTCTGAGGCAGCTTAGTGCAGCAGGTTGAAAGAAGAATTCTCTCCATCTTAGCTGTTCTTTGGCCAAGCTTGTTCGGCTGTTTGGTGTTATGGATCAAACCCAAGGCATTACACATGCTAAATACACATTCTATCACTGAGTTAGGTATCTCTAGCCTGGCCAGAGACAATTTAAAGTACCCTCATTCCTTTTCTGAAAACTTTGGAAGGAAATAAGAGTCCAGGAGTTTATCAAAGAATTGTAGAGTGTGTAACACATACATGTGTACACACACACACACACACACACACACACACATAGGGCATCCTCTTTCCTCTGCCCTACCTTCTCTGGTGCCAGTTTCCCTCAAACACACAAAGCCTCGGGGGATAAGGGCAGTGTTTGGGGCTAGAGTGGCTAAGAAAAGGCAGGAAGAGGCAGGGCTTACTGAAAGGGACCATCGAGAGCCAAAGACTGCCCTGGGCACACAGGTGCACTTTCAATGCAAAGAAAGGCAGGAAAGCAGTGTTTGACAATTTCAATAAGCTCAGCCCAACATCTCTGAAGAGGCTTTATTCTTGAGTTCAGATCAAAAGAAGAATGCATGGCAGATACCTTTCTTTTTAGTTCCTAAATGTACTTATTTTTTGATTATAAAAGCCATAAACAACAATGCAGGGTAGATGGAAAATATAGAAGAAAAAAAACACATCTCTCGTCAAACTACCTTTCTGACACAAGTTCTATTAGCAGGGCATTTAGTAATGAACAGATAGTTTGTGTGTGTGTGTGTGTGAGACTAGGTTCCCTGAGAGTGTGTGTGTGTGTGTGTGTATGTGCGCGGTCCTGGGGCTTGGACTAAGTTCCCTGAGCGTGCGTGCGTGTGTGTGTGTGTACGTGCGCGCTGTCCTGGGGCTTGGACTAGGTTCTCTGAGCTGGTTTTGCTCAAGGTTAGCACTCATACCACTTTTTGGTGGATAATAGGAAATAAGAGTCTCATGGAGTCAGGTGTAGGTGGCTCATGCCTGTAATCCTAACTACTCAGAAGGCTGAGATTGGAGGATCTTGGTTCAAAGCCAGCCTGGGCAAGAATGTCACAGATATAAATTCTTATCTCCAATTAACCACCAGAGAATTGAAGTGGAGCTATGGTTCAAAGTGGTAGTATTAGCCTTGAGTGCAAAAGTGCAGGGACAGCACCCTGAGTTTAAGCCCTATGATTGAAAAAAAAAAAAAAAAAGCTCTCATGGGCTTTCCTGCCCCTGCTGGCTTCAAACAGCTATGATCCTCAGAGTTCAGCCTATTTAGTAGCTAAGATTACAGGGGTGAGCGGCTGTGCCCAGCAGTTACATTAAAAAAAAAAATCTAAAGATTTAACATTTTTATTTCAAGATGATTTGACTAGAAGATCTTAGATGAGCAAAACTATAATCCTTCTGTTATTAGTATGTGTAATTAACAAAATGCAAAAGAATGATCACAAATGAGCCACTTCCAGAAACAAGGATGCAGTAAGATGAGAATTGGCAGAGGCTTTTCCATGTACAATTCCTTTTTTGTTGTTGTTGGTCATGAGGCTTGAACTTAGAGCCTGGGTGCTGTCTCTGGCTTTTCTGCTCAAGGTTAGTGTTCTACCACTTTGACCCATAGCACCACTTCTGGTTTTCTGATGGTTAATTGGAGATAAAAGTTCTCACAGCCTTTCCTACCTGGGCTGGCTTTGAACCACAATCCTCAGATCTCAGCCTCCTGAGGTGCTATTATTACAGGTGTCAGCCACCAGCTGACTTCCAGGTACAATTTTTTCTCTCTCCTCTCTCCTCTCCTCCCTCTGTCCCTCCCTCCTTCTCTCCCTTCCCTTCTCTCTGTCTCCCTCCCCCCCCCCCCAGAAAGGTCTTGATATGTCATCAGACATGGAGGCACCAAGATCAAAATGAGGGCTCCTAGATACTGAATAAAAGCTAGCATCTCAGTGTATACCTATAATCCCAGCTATTTGGAAGACTAAGGTGGCTACAGCCTGGGAAGTGTATTAAAATATAAGATGACTCTATCTTGGAACAGAAAGGGATGAAGGGAAAAAAAGAAAAGAAAGAAAGGAAAGGAGGGAGGGAGGGAGACCTATATGTGATTTTTGTGGCTGAGGGAAGGAGAGTGAGCAGATGAGTTAGAGGGTAGAGTCTAGGATCATCAACAGAGAAGAACTCAGCAAATGTTTCCAAAATTGTGTGCAAGAGGCTATGCTAAATATTCTGGGTGACTAGGGACAATGTCTCTGGAGCTCACACCATAGATGAAGGCAACATGCAGAGTTGAACCTGGGAAGGCAGAGGTAATCCTGGAGCTCCCATTCCTAGCCTGAAAGTCTTTAGCAAACAGTTTTCCCATTTGGAACCCTGGTGACACCTGTAAAAGTGGGAAGGAACACTCCTTTCCTTGAAGGTTCTTGTTGAGAATTAATGTGAAAGTCAACACTGGTAAAGATCTGAGCACAGGACTGCATAAGATGGATGTTAAGCAAGTGGTGGTGTTTGTCAGTCTCCTCAATAATAGTATGATATCTATGAATGACTGAACAGCTTGTTAGTATCCTATCACTGAGGCCTGGAGCTCAGCCTAGTATGTAGCAAGGAGGGAGGAATGAATAAGTGAATGAATAATAGCTGCTTCTTGCATAGCACTTGATATGTGGAATGTGTGGTCCTAGACATTTTATCTAATAACTCACTTCATCCTCACAACAACACAACAGAAGAAGAACTATGATAGCTCCATTTTTCCCAGGGTCACACAGCTAGTACTATGCAGAGCCAGGAGTCAAACCTTGGCAGTCTGACTCTGGAGCTGGTATTCTCTACCAATCACCATATTATTCTGCATCCCTAAATGATTATTATTCCCACTACTATGAAGTGGGGCTCATGAAACACACATATTGTCTGTTGTGGGGTTAGAGATGATGTATACAGAAGTGTTTGCTATCATAAGCAAATTCCAAAGATCATTATTATTATCACCACCACATTAAGTGGGTATGTCACCAAGAAGCTAAAAAAAACAAGGGAAAAGGCTTATCTCTGAAATCAAATACTAGAGAAAAGCCAACAAATAAACAAAATGGCCAGGCCTGTGCATAGTGCATAAGCGATGAGGAGCTGTGGAGGACACACAGACTCAAGCTGTCTAAGGCAGGAGTCGGCTAGCGTGAACTGATGTGCAGCCCACTGGAGCACCCTGATTGTGTTGCTGTGCAGAATTGAGGGCACGAGGAGGAATTCTGCGGTGAGTAGCCTTCCAAGGTAATGGGAAGAAAACAAATCAGAGAAGCAGGATGGAGGCAGCAGTCCCCACCCTATTCAGGAGCTCTGCCCTATACTCTAAACCCCAAAGCTTCACTTTGATGGATCTCTGAAAAAGAAATTAGGGCCAATTCAAAGAAAAGCACCAGGCTTTTGAGATATGTCATTGAAAGCTCTGCGAGGGTCAGTGAGAAAAGGCAGGATTACTGATGTCTATACAGGGTTTTCAGCCATGCCTGACACACAGATACGCTGAGCTCAGGGAGGCATTATTAACGAGAGGTTACTGAGCCTTTGAAAACCCTTCCATTTTCACAGTATTTCTCTGCTAGACCTAGAGATAAATGGCAATTTTACCCTTTTGGGACTATGTCTGACTGTTAAATGGAGAGAGCATCCCCAGTGTGAACTGGAGATGAGCCGGGAAAGGAATGGCAGGGCTGGCACAAGGTTTTCATTGAAACAGTAAAAGAGAAACGGTCAACTGGTCAATTGCCAAAAGTGTTACAGGGACACAGACAGGCCAGGAAGAGTAGGGACAAAGAACAAGATGGCAGCTGGCAGTCAACCCCTAGCAGGGGTGACAGCTCAGGGCCCTAAACAAAAAAACAGGCTGTCACACACCTAAAGTGTATGCTGCTAGCAGGCGAGCTCCTGCTAGGCTCCACTGGAGGCTTAGCAGGGCACAGACGGTGCAGCTGGCTGGTGGCAGGGACAGGAGCAGCCGCTGCTGCAGAGGTAGGAGAGGCAGTGGCGGCATCTTTTAGAATGTCTTTAAATAGCAACCCGAGGAAGGCGGCTGCTTTCCTGCTCCCCCACAGGCACTGAAATAGAACAAAGGCGGCAAGGAAAATGGCTGGAGCCTATGCAGAGATGGTGGGCTACTACTATTTGCTGTCGTGGGGGAGAAAGACTGGCAGCGCCATCCTGAGCAGGTGATTACAAGCCCAGCCTTAAAAGTGCAGTCAGTCACCTCAGGTGGTAGAGAGGCTTCATTGTCCCCTACCTGAGTATCTCCATGCTGATACCTGCTGAGGGTAACACAGTTCTGTTTCCTTTCAGTCCCTAAAAGCTCCAGCGTAGAACTATACAGCACCTGTAAATGGCTCAGTACTACCGCATACTGAGTGCTTACTACTTGCAGGCACTGAGCAATTTAATCAAACCTTTCTCAAGTGTCATCTCACCAGCTACAATGCAGGTATTCCTGTCCACTTTTTTTTTTTGGGGTCCGGTCATGGGGCCTGAACTCTGGGCCTGGGCGCTGTCCCTCAGCTCTTCAGCTCAAGGCTAGCACTCTACCACTTGAGCCACAGCGCCACTTCCGGCTTTTTTGTTTTTGCTTATGTGGTGCTGAGGAATCGAACCCAGGGCCTCAGGCATGCAAGGCAAGTGCTTTAACCACTGAGCCACCTTCCCAGCCCCTCCTGTCCACTTTTCAAATCAGGGAAAGGATTCGGAGATTAGCTCTCAAGTGTACCTTATTGGGTAATCTGATATGCAGGGAGAACATAGTGAGATCTTTTTGTACCATCAGACTTGCTTGTTTGCACGGTACCTAGCTGGCTAATGATGGAATGGAGCGGGGCAGCAGATAGGCTAGGGGTGATTCCAAGATTCAGAAAACCAGTTTGCTTTGAGGCTTGCCTCAGTGTAGCTTAAGTTAGCTGTACCTGTGTGGGTAGGGGATGTGCTGACTACACTCCCCATGGTATCTACATGGTAGAACTCAATGTTCCCTGAAGGAGAATTCAGGAATATAGGGTTAGGAGGCTGAACCAAAGGCCAGAGAAAGTCAGAGGTGCTGCTACATCCATTAGAGGTCTGGCTGGGTCAGTGTTATGTGCTAATATGCACATAGCGTAGCCCATGTTGGAGAAAGCAACCCCACCAGAAAAGTTGGCTACACTGCCTCATTCCCCACCTCTGCGACACATGAAAAAAATCCCTTGAATGTCTTTCGCTCTTATGTGGTACTGAGGAATCGAACCCAGGGCCTCATGCATGCAAGGCAAGCACTCTACCACTGAGCCACCTTCCCAGCCCCAGGGGTTTTGTTTTCTTTGTTTTTTTTTAAAAAAACAAACTTTTTTTTAATGCTCTCCAGGTGACACTAACAACCCACAAACAACCCTTATTCGAGTAAAAATGAGGATGTAGTAATGTAGGATGTTAGAACAACAACAACAAAAAAAAAACAGCAGGTAAGAGACAAGTAAAGAATATGCCTTGATTTCAAGGTGGATGTCGTTATTGATGACTCTGCCTATGAAAGAACTGTGGTTACAAGGACAAAGTAATTTGGACGTAACCCAATGCAATTTTTGATTTTCTTTTTCTTTTTTTGTGTGGGTACTGGGGCTGCTCTACCACTTTGAGTTAGAGATCCACTTCTGGTGGTTAACTGGAGATAAGTATCTGCTGGATTTTTCTGCTTGAGCTGGCTTTGAACTTCGATCCTCAGAGCTCAGACTTTCAAATAGCTAGGATTACAAGTATAAGCTTCTAAGTATGGATACTCAACTTGTAATTTTTTTTTTTTTTTGGTCCCGTCATGGGGCTTGAACTCTGGGCCTGGGCACTGTCCCTCAGCTCTTCAGCTCAAGGCTAGCCCTCTACCACTTGAGCCCAGTGCCACTTCCGGCTTTTTTTTTTTTTTTTTTTGCTTATGTGGTACTGAGGAATTGAACCCAGGGCCTCTGGTATGCAAGGAAAACGCTCTACCACTGAGCCACCTTCCCAGCCCCCTCAACTTGTAATTTTCTTAACTATCCATAAAGACTTTCTTTTCCAAAAAAGGTGAGTGGTCATAATTTTTTTTTTTTTTTTGGTTGGTCGTGTGGCTTGAACTCTGGGCCTGGGCACTGTTCCCAAGCTCATCAGTTCAAGGCTAGCATTCTATCACTTGAGCCACAGGGCCACTTCCAGTTTTCTGGCGGTTTATTCCTGCTTAGGCTGGCTTTGAACTGCAGTCCTCAGATCTCAGCCTCCTGAGTAGTTGAGACTACAGGCGTGAGCCACCAGCGACCAGCTGTGGTCATAGTTTCTGAATCACAAATTATGATTCAACTTCCTAGCAGGTATGGTGGTGCATGAGAGCAATCCCAGCTAATCAGGAGGCAGAGTCAAGGCATTACAATATGAGGCCAGCCTGGGCAAAAGTTAGTAGGACTCTACCTCAAAAACAAGCAGGCTTGGTTGGGAAGGTGGCTCAGTGATACAATGCTTGCCTTGCATGCATGCGGCCCTGGGTTTGATTCCTCAGCACCACATAAGCAAAAAGAAAAAAGCCTTGAGCTGAAGAGCTGAGGGACAGCGCCCAGGCCCAGAGTTCAGGCCCCACAACTGACAAAACAAAAAAAATAAAAAACAAAAACAAAAAACCCACAACAACAACAACAACAAAAACCCAAGCAGGCGCAAACTGACTCAGGTCTGGTATAGGCAGGAATGAGATTTAATGATGTAACCCCACAATTAAAAGACAGTTTAACAAAATGAATATCAGGAAGCTGAAACATCTTGACTGTGATGGGTGAAGGCTAAAGGGAGAGGGTAGATGAAAAGAAAGAGGCATGGTGGGTGAATACAGCCACAAGACTCAATGTATATACATGACAATGTAACCAACATAACTTGTTGAAACTGATGAGGAGGGGACAGTGCTGGGGGGAATGATTGAAGGGGTGACTGACTGATGAAGACGAATACATAGGTGGACATGTTAAACTCTAACCCCTTTGTATAACTATTTGAAGACAGCAATAAATTTAAAACAAAGCAAAAAACAAAAACAAAAACAACCCAAGCAGGGATAGTGGTATACTCTTACTGTCCTAGCTACTCAGGAAGCAGAGGTAGGAGAACTATGGTAGGATGAAACCTATATGGGAAAACAAAAACAAAACAAACCCCTAAAAACAAAAGGACTAGTTAGGGGTGTGGATCAAAAGATGAAGTACTTGCCTAGCATACGTGGGGTCCTGAGTTTAACCGCCCCCCCACTGAAAAAAAATTGCACCTTCTTGCCAAAGTATTAGAAGGATTTGTTCTTAAACCTGTGTGTGTGAAGCCTGGTTTTGAAGACAAGAGGATGTCATAAACTACTGCCATTCATTTTGTAGGAAAATGTAAGGATCAGGTAAGGCTGCCCCAGTCCCTGGGGTAGCCAGTTACAGCAGAAACCTTTGTCCAGATGGGAGGAATTAAGGGACATACATGTGTTAAAATTTTGACAGATTTTTTATATAACGTGAGAAGTTAACATTTTGAAATGTAGACCAACTCTGGATGTTCATCAATATTCAGTCTGTCATTCTTCCTCATGACTCCTCCCAGCTGGTTTGACAACAACCTACATACAACTCAACAGGAACTACAAAAAAACCCCAAAAAACAAAAAAAAAAAAACCCAAAACCCAAACCTTTCCAAGTAAGAATAGACAAAAATTTCCTCCTTAAGAGAACTTGTTCAGACAACTTCAGCTGTTGGGAAACTGGAACACTGGAGGAGTTTATAAGTCCCAGAACTTTCATAGGGAAATTTAAGAGACATCTCTCTGGATGTCACAGTGAGGAGGTGTTTGGGGGCCCATGGTTTCCTGCTGGCACAGACATGTAGGCTAAGCACCACAGAATCTATGCCAATCCTGAGCCCATATGGAAAGTGCTACAGCCAGTTTTATTTTACCTGAGAAGTCAGGAAAAGTTTTTCACAAGCAGTGTAACACTTCAATGGAGTCCCTAAAAGATGAGTATAAGCTGATCACATGAATGAGTGAGATAAAAGAAGGCATTTGAAGCATAAGAAGTACATGAGGACTAGGGAAATGGCTCAAATGGTAGAGCACCTGCCCAGCAAGCACTAGATCCTGAGTTTAAAGCCCAGTATGAACCAAAATATGGAGGCAAATCATTGTGGAGAGTGAACAAGCCAAAGTAAACAGGTGGGGCCAACATGTATTGTCTGTCTTACAAAGGACTCTGGTCTTCATTTGGCACACAAGAAATACTAAAGCAGTATTAATGGAGACGGGTCATCTGCGGATTCACCCTTGACAAAGATCTTTCTGGTTCAAATTCTCTTGCCATTTGAAGTAACTGAACCACAGTCAATCCACAGAATTCGAGAAGTCCAGGGTGAAGGACAGAAATCCAAGACACCTACAACAAATCATTTTCCCTCAGGTACAACCTCAAGCTAGTTCTAATCACAGTAAGCCCACCACATTTCTGTGTGTTGTTTGGTCAAGTATGGTTAAAAACTATTAATTTCAAAAAGAAAAAAAATTAAATTTCTACACATGCATTGGGAACCCTAGTAGATGTAGAGATTTCAGTCACTCTTTTGTTATTATTAGTTGTGTTTAAATTACTGTTAATTGAGAATTTTCTTGCACTTAATCTTGTAAAGATCTGTCTCCCAAAAGTAAATCATGCCCATAAAGCAAAGGTAAAAGTTAGTGAACTTAAAGTGTTAAAGTGACAATTCTAGGTTTATTGAAAGGCAGCATGCCTTTAGAAAAGTTGGGTGGTGTTATGGGAAAAAGGTATCAAGCATCTGTAGTACAGTGCTGAACTCTGCATCCAGAGCATTCATGGCTTTACTTCAGTGGCAATCTCTCTGCAACAACAGATAACCTTCAGATAGCAAAGGTCTATTATAGGTTCTTCAGAACAGCTGAGTGGACAGAGTGACAGCCACAGTGCTATTGCTGAGCATCTAATTGTAAACTTGCTGGAACTCAATTTTCTTTTCCACAATTAGAGTTAATAATCACATTTCTCCTCCAAGGTTGTTAGGAGGATTCAGAGGATAATGGAT